TGGTAGCTGCCCCAGAACTAATCGACAGAGGGAACATGCCAAGAGGACGCGCCGCGGAACGTCCCAAGGGACGCGCCAGGCGACGTGCCAGGGGACGTGCCATGGGGACGCACCGCGGGACGTGCGAAGGGGACGCGCTACGGAACGTGCCAATGGACGTGCCGAGGGACGTGCCAGGGGACGCGCCGCGCGACGTGCCAGGTGGACTCGCCACGGAACGCGCCAAGGAACGTGCCAAGGTGCATACTTGAGTGTATCGATCTTGATGTACCGTGCCGACGGCTGTGCTGTGCTACGCCGTGCTGAACTGCGATGTGCCATGCCGCGATTGTGCTCTATATAGCGTTGTGGATCGAGTCCTCCCTGGCATCCGAGTCCTCACCGAACTGATCTGGATCGTAAGCTCGAGCTGCCTGAGCAGATGGTAGCTGCCTCAGAACTAATCGACAGAGGGAACATGCCAAGAGGACGCGCCGCGGAACGTCCCAAGGGACGCGCCAGGCGACGTGCCAGGGGACGTGCCATGGGACGCACCGCGGGACGTGCGAAGGGGACGCGCTACGGAACGTGCCAATGGACGTGCACCGCGCGACGTGCCAGGGGGACTCGCCACGGGACGCTCCGCGGAACGTGCCAGGCAACATGCCAGGCTGCAATGCTAAGGGTATCGATGTTGATGTACCGTGCCGAGGGCTGTGCTGTGCCTGGGCGACCTGGACACGTGAAAACACGCGTTTCGCTCAAGACGTTGTCAGCACATCCTCATGCTAGACATCCGCCTGGGCAACCTGGACACGTGCAAACAAGCGTCTCGCTCGAGACATCCTCAACAAATGCTCATGCTAGACATCCGCCTGGGCGACCTGGACACGTGAAAACAAGCCTCTGGTTCGAGACATCCTCAACAAATCCTCATGCTAGACATCTGTCTGGGCCACCTGGAGGCGTGAAACCAAGCGTCTCGCTCGAGACATCCTCAAGACCTGGGCACGTGAGAACAAGCAATCCACTTGAGAGATCCTCAGAATTCAGTTCCCCAGGAGAGGACAATCTATAACACAAAACAAGCGTTTCGCTCGAGACATCCACAATAATTTCTGAACAACAAGCGTTTCGCTCGAGACATCCTCAAGTTTTAATTCGCCGGCCCTACGCGATCTCGTTATTTATCGCAAAAGAAATTCGCCGGCCCTACAGCCGTCAAAACCGGGGGTAAACCTACTAAAAGAGAACCCTGGGCCGGCGCCCTTTGCGGGAAAAATCGCCAGCCCTACGCGACCTCGTTATCCATCGTAAATAATTTCGCTGGTCCTACATAATACACGCGTTTCGCTAGGGACATCCTCATTTTTTCCACGCCAGATTGGACTTTACCTCGTTACTTCTAACAAATAATTTCGCCGGCCGAAACCGGGGGAAACAAAACTAAAAGAGAACCCTGGGCCCACGCCCTTTCCGGGAAAAATTGGCAACAGCTTCACAGATGGGGGGCGGGTCGTCTTCAAAAAAGGGTTCTCGCCTGAGCACCGCGCACATTCGTTTTAAAATGATCGACCCACGAACCCGGAAAGGAATATAGAAACGTAAGGCATGGCGACGCAAGACACCTGATCGGGCGACGGGCAATTGCAAGGCTGAGTGTGTCGATCTTGACGTACCGTGCCAAGGGCTGTGCTGTGCTGCGCCGTGCTGAATTGCGAGGTGCCATGCCGCGATTGTGCTCTATAGCGTTGTGGATCGAGTCCTCCTTTGCATCCGAGTCCTGACCGAACTGATCTGAATCTCGAGCTGCCCGCGCACATAGTAGCTGCCCCAGAGTCACTTGACAGGGGGACACGCCAGGGGGACGTGCCGTGGAACGTCCCAAGAAGGGTCGTGCCAGGGGACGTGCCATCGGGACGCACCGCGGGACGTGCCAGAAGGACGCGCTACGGAACGTGCCAATGGACGTGCCACAGGACGCGCCAGGGGACGCGCCGGGCGACGTGCCAGGGGGACTCGCCATGAGACGCACTACGGAACGTGCCAGGGAACGTGCCAGGTTGCAAGGCTAAGAGTATCGATCTTGACGTAAGGCATGGGCGATTCTTGCGCTGTGCCGGTGCCGGTGCCGGTGCCGGTGTCGGCGCTACTGTAGTGCCAGTGCCGGTGCCAGCGCCGGCGCCAGTGCCGGTGCCGGTACCAATGCCGGCGCTGGTGCCGGCGTCGGCGGTGCTGGCGCTGGTGCTGGTGCCGGTACTGGTGCCAGTGCCGGCGCCGGCGGTGCTGGCGCTGGTGCTAATGCGGGCGCCGGTGCAGGTGCTGGTCACAGAGTCCCTGGGTAGTCTGGGTGACCAGGTAACAGGGTCCAGTCGATCTGGGTGGAGACCCCACGGAGTAGGACCGCTACTCGGACGGGCGGGTCGAGTCGGGCGGGCGGGACCGCATCGAGGAAGACCACAGGGCGCCAGTGGCCGGGTGGGACACTATAGTGCAGGACGCCTCTCTGGTCTGATCGGGCGGGGGGGGGGGCACCGAGACGCGCGGGGGGTCGGGTCGGGTTGGGCAGGCGGAACATTAAAGTGTGGGGCCGCATCGAAGAAGACCACAGGGCGCCAGTGAGACGGGCTGGTACAGCGGAGGCCTTGGACAAAGAAATCTTGGAATCCAGGGTCTGGAAGCCGGGGGAATTCCAATTGTGGATCGGCCATGGGAATCGCCGCCGCCATCATCACATGAGGAATCCTCCACGGTCCGAAGCCTCCAGGGCACATCCTTAACCAACACCCTCGCTGTAGGGCCTTAGGCTTGATCGGGCGGGGCACTTAAGTGCAGGACGCCTCTCGGGTCGGGTCGGGCGGGCAGGGCACCATAGTGCAGGACGGCAGCCGGGCTGCGGGCGGGCGGGACATTAAAGTAAGGGACCACGACGAGTGAGTCCACTACAAGAGCAGGGAAGTGGGGTCGGGCAGGAGGGGCATCCAGATGTGGGGCACCATCGAAATGAAACACTACTCTGGCGGGCAAGTTGCATCAAGCTGGCGGGATACGAACACGCAGGTCGAGTGGCGCGCATCAGCTCACGGGTTGTGCCTCGGCTTGTACGCCGAAGCTATTGAGTGCACCCTGGAGTTTCAGAACAATCGAAGGGGATCTTGCACGTGTAGCAACAATGATGTTGTTTAATCAACTTGGGGAGGGAGCTTGCCCAGCAGAGGGTGCAGCACAGCAAAGGGGCATGTGTAGTACCAAGGATGTTGTTTTAATCATATTGGGGAGGGGTCTTGCCTAGCAGAGGGTGCCGCACAGCAAAAGGGCACGTCTAGCACCAAGGAGTCTTTTCAAATCAACTTTGGGAAGGGGAATTAACTAGCTGAGGGAGCCGCACAGCAAAAGGGCATGTCTAGCATCAATGATGCATGTCTCATCATCTTGGGGAGGGGTCTTGCCTAGCAGAGGGTGCCGCAAAGCAGATGCGGCATGCCTAAAACCAAGGGCACTTTTTAAATTATCTTGGGGAGCGGTCTTGCGTAGCAGAGGGTGCCGCACAGCAAAAGGGCATGTCTAGCACCAAGGAGTCGTTTTTTTATACACTTGGGGAGGGGCCTTGTCTAGCTGAGGGTGCCGCACAGCAAAGGGGCATGTGTAGCAAGGATGCTTATTTACTCGTTTTGGGGAGGGATCTTGTCTAGCAGGGGGCGCAGCACAGCAAAGGGGCATATCTAGCACCAAGGATGCTTGTTTAATCGTTTTGGGGAGGGGCCTTGCCTAGCAGAGGGTACCGCACAACAGATGGGGCATGTCCAGCACCAAGGGGTCGTGTTTAATCAACTTGGGGAGGGGCCTTGCCTAGCAGAGGTGGCCGCACAGCAGATGGCGCATGTCTAGCACCAAGGATGTTGTTTGTATCATGTTGGGGGGCTCTTACCTAGCAGAGGGTGCCGCACAGCAGATGCGGCATATCTAACACTAAGGGTGTTGTTTTAATAATCTTGGGGAGGGGTCTTGCCTAGCAAAGGGTGCCGCACGGCAAAGGGGCATGTCTAGCACCAAGGATGTTATTTGTGATCATTTTGGGGAGGGGTCTTGCCTAGCAGAGGGTGCCGCAAAGCAGATGCGGCATGCCTAACACCAAGGTTGCTTTTTTAATTATCCTGGGGAGGGGTCTTGCCTAGCACAGGGTGCCGCACAGCACAAGGGGCACGTCTAGCACCAAGGATGTTATGTGTGATCATTTTGGGGAGGGGTCTTGCCTAGCAGAGGGTGCCGCAAAGCAGATGCGGCATGCCTAACACCAAGGTTGCTGTTTTAATTATCCTGGGGAGGGGTCTTGCCTAGCACAGGGTGCCGCACAGCACAAGGGGCACGTCTAGCACCAAGAACGTCATGTTTTATCATTTTGGGGAGGGGTCTTGCCTAGCAGAGGGTGCCGCACAGCAAAAGGAGCACGTCTAGCACCAAGGATGCTTTCTAATCAGCTTGGGGAGGGGTCTTGCCTAGCAGAGGGTGCAGCACAGCAAAGGGGCATGTCTAGCACGTCAGGGGCCAGGAGTCGACACGCCGAGATGTGAGGCGCGAGTACAAGGGGGGAGAGCGCGAGGGAGTTCTATAAGCACCTGTCAAATGTCCCGCCTCTGGCTAAGAATGGCCGTGGGCGGGGCGCGGCCCTGCTACGCTCCACGCAGGGTTACGCCTGCATCAGTGACCAAGGCATGACATTCCCGTGCTGCTATTCATGACCAGGACACGACTCGGCCCACAACTGCGGTTTTGTGGCGCACCTGTGCCCCTCGAGGCAGCCAGACCGAAATTGGCCGAAGCAGGCCAACGAGCTCCCGGAACGATGTGTGTCAGCCAGCGGCTTCGACCTCATGGGCCAGGCCGGCCAGATCAGAGACGCAGCAGCTTCTCAGCTCCAGCTTAAGTGGCCGAACCGAGCCCCGCACGACCATAAAGAGGTTGAAAACCGCATTGAAAAATAATGATGCATAGTTGCACTCCCTTATGCCCGAGGGAGTCGCCTTGTCTGTGAGGTACAGGTGCTTCTGGAAGGCTTCGAAGCTGGACTTCCTGGTCAGCTCTGGGTACCAGTCTGGATGCTGGCAAGTGCCCACCTGAGAGCATTTTCATCACGAGGTCGCAAGAAACAGCTACGGCAGGTTCGAAACTGTCAGAGCTAGTACCAAGCTCCAGGGTTCTCTGGCAAGGAATCTTGGGTACGGCTGGTTCGCGTCAGGATGGCGTCGGCGCTGGTTTCAAACATCGCGTGGATCGTTCAAACTGGGACGATCGTGGCTTTCCGCTTGCGCGAATCTTTTGAGCTCGGCCGATTCTTGGCCACTGCCGTGTCGACGCGGTACGAACCTTAGGGGCAAAGGTTCAAGCTCCCGAAACGAAAGCCACCAATGGTGGGATCGCCATCCCACAACTGAACCAGGTCGGCCCCACGCGCCAGGTGCAACAGGCGCGCCAGTCGCGCCAAGTGCCCCAGGCGCGCCAGCCGTGCTAAATGCGAAAGGTGCGCTGTGTACGCCCATGTGCTGGCCAAGTGCGCCGAGTGCCTCATGGGCCTTTCCCCGCCTGGAGGCTCCTCGGAGATCCCGACGCCCTCCTGGCGGATTGCAATGCCTCCAGGTTGCCCACGGTAGCTTCGAAGACGGCCCAGGAAGGCCACCAAGGCCGTAAAGATGACTCACGATTGCCTCAAGGTGGGCCCAAAATGCACCCAAGAATCCCCAAGAGGCACCCAAGAGATACCTCCAGAAGGCACTTCAGGCCCAGGGACAGCCCCAAGACGGCTCGGAACTCCAAGGCAGCCCAGGACCCCCAGACGCCCGCTGGACTGCCCCAGGACCCTCCAACACAGGCCAAGGACCCCCCCCCCCAAAAAAAAAGACCCAGAGGCGGCGGTAAAACCCTCCAAGATACCCCAAAGACCTTGAGCAGACTCCCGATAATCTCCAAAAGGCTTCAATGTTAGCCAGCGTGGACCCCAAACGAGGTGGTGCAATCCATGTAGTGCAAATTCGGTGGCGCAATTCACGTAGTGCAATCTGTGTGGAGCGAAGAAAAAAGCAATGCAATGTAACACACAGCAATGCACCGCAACGCACCGCTACGCAAGGTAACGCGAAGCAATGCAACACAATGCAATGATATGCAATGAAATGCAAATCAATACGACCAAGCAGTGCAACAGAACAGGCAAAGCAATGCAAAGCAATATGATAAGATGCGAAGCAAGGCCACGCAATGCACCGCAGTGCATAGTAATGCACCGCAACGCAAAGCAATGCAAAGTAATGCAACGAAATGTAATAAGACGCAAAGCAAATACACGCAATGCACCGCACTGCAAAGTAACGCACCGCAATGCAATGCAAAGAAATGCAAAATAGCGCAAATAAATGCAATAGGATGCAACGCAATGCCACGCAATGCCACGCAATGCCACGCAATGCCAAGCGATGCCTAGCAATGCCAAGCAACGCAAAGCAGTGCAAAACAATGCAAAGCGACGCAAAGACATGCAAAGCAATGCACAGCAACGCAAAGGAATGCAAAGCAATCAATGGCAATGCGCAGTAGTGAAAAGCAGTGTAAAGCAACGCGGCGCAGGTGGTGGCGGCGATGGCGGCGACAGCCAGGCCCAAGCACTCTAGAAGAGAAGTAAGAACCCCGAAGTACAGGTACGGTTTGGGGAAAAAAGAAACAGCTAGCAAGCACCTCGGAGGCCCAAAACTCACGATGCCGCATGTCAACACAACAACTGCTTCCGACTCGTCGCCGCTGCAAATTGGCACAGCCAGGCCCGCAATCTAAAGCAAACCAAAGTAGCCAGCCAATATTTCTGCAATCGCAGTTCTCGAGGCAGCCTCCTGCCAAGCGCACACATCCCCTCCCTCCACCTACTCCGCCTTCATTTCCTCCTCATCTTCGGGGTCCTTCTCCTCCTCCACATCCTCATCCTTCTCCACATGTTCCTCCTCCTCATCCTCATCCTCCTTCTCCTCTTCTCATCCTCACCACCACCACCACCACCAGCACCATAACCATCACCACCACCATCATCATCACCATCACCACCACCACCATCATCATCATCATCACCACCACCACCATCATCATCAGATGATGAGCAGCATCAGCATCAGCGTCAGCATCAGCATCAGCATCCTCATCACGATCATCATCATCATCATCATCATCATCATCAGCAGCAGCAGCAGCAGCATTCTCATCTGCATCACCATAATCGCAATCATCGCCAGCATCAGCATCATCATCATCATCATTAGCAGCAGCAGCATCATCCTTAGCATCACCATCATCATCAGCATCAGCATCATCAGCATCAGCATCATCAGCATCATCATCAGCATCATAATCATCAGCATCATCATCGCCATCATCATCAGCAGCATTATCATCAGCAGCAGCAGCGTCATCACCCACATCATCAGCATAAGCATCAGCATCATCATCAGCCACCAGCATCATCAAAAACAAAGTTATCATCGTCATCAGCATTAGCATCATAATCAGCATAAGCATCAGCATCAGCAGCATCATCATCATAATCATGATCAGCATCAGCATCATCAGCAGTATCATCATCATGAGCATCAGCATCATCATCATCATCATCATCATCACCACCACCCCCACCATCATCATCATCATCATCGTCGTCGTCGTCAAAATACTCCTCAGCCAACAGCTGTTCCTCCTGCGGTGGATGCATCCGATCTAGGCCCCTCAACCTCGAATTGAACAGGGCGTAGCCACTGCCCTCGTTCAGGAGGCCCTCGTGATGAGTTGCCCACCAGGCCCGAGAAAGGTGAAACGCAAATCGACTGACAACCGATGACCACTCCTGTCGTGCGCTACGTGGCCCGCTCCTAGATCAAAAAAAGATGGCATCTCTGAGCCGATGTGTACTTCCGGCAGAGTGACGTCCGCCAGTTTCTCCAGCCTTCCATCAGCTTCCCACGGGGGAGAGAAGTCAACTTCTCGACCCCTCGAAAGCGAGGGTCCTTCTGGAGCGAGTCGAGTAGGCTCGCAGTGTGGGTGGCATGCGGCATCGGTGCGCCATCGGCCTGCCCAGCAACACCACTCCAGGGGTCCACGCAAATTGCCTGGAGAGGCGCCATGCCAGGCTCCTAGGTCGCCTCACATCACGCATCGCGCTCCACGATACGCGACACGAAGTTATCTGCGCGACCCCGCACCATCACGCAACCCCCTTGGAGAAAGGCGACCGCTCTGGCCCAGACCGCGACGCGCGAAGCGCGATTCTTTTCACACCCCTGGAGAGGGACCTAAAATCTCAGTATAAAGGAGGACGGAAGAGGAGCTCAAAGGTCTTGCAGCCGCGGTACCAGCGGGTGCCCTTCCCAACGCATTTCGCGAGCTTGAGAGGACGTGTCGGCACGTCGGCATGCAGGCGTGTCGCCTGGGCCGCCCACAGGACATTCTGGTAGCACTCCGAACCTGCCGCGGCCGTCTCGCAAGCCTCTGTGGTGGTGATGGTGGTGGTGATGGTGCTGGTGGCCGTTGTGACCTTAGAGACGCTGCTGGAGGAAGAGATAAGGTCACGGAAAGCGCAGGAGCAGCAAGCATCGAATCGCGAAAATGAGTAGATTGGAGCATGCATCGAATGGGGCTGCATAGGCGCGGAGTTGGGAATCGAATCTGATCGGCAGCGCCAGGATGCACAGCAGCGCCAAGCTCAAGCATCAAACCGCATTGGATTGTCGGAATATCGGCATCGAGTCGGATCGGACCGACCGAAATCGATATCGAGCCAGAACGATCGGATCGAAATGGACCCTGCAATGGCGGGGGGGAACGCAAGGTGCATGCACATTCCTCCAATTTGCCAGGCGGAAGGACCCGATCCGCACAGCTACTGCACGGGAAGGGGCCTCTGATATCGCTGAACTCCGCGCGTTCCCCCAAGACGCCGACCGCGGCATTCAAAACATGATGGACCCACGAACCCGGAAAGGGATATAGACATGCGCAGCATGGTCACGTTTTCACGATACCCAACTGGGCGACACCTCACAAAACATCCCACGAGACACCCCGCGAAACATCCCACGAGACACCTCGCGAAACATTCCACGAGACACCTCGCGAAACGTTCCACGAGACACCCCGCGAAACATTCCACGAGACACCCCACGAAACATTCCACGAGACACCCCACGAAACATTCCACGAGACACCCCACGAAACATTCCACGGGGGTGCGACTGGGTGTGGTCGTGCTGGGGTGTGGTCTTGCTGGGGTGTGGTCGTGCTGGGGGGGTGGTCGTGCTGGGGGGTGGTCGTGCTGGGGCGTGGTCGTGCTGGGGCGTGGTCGTGCTGGGGCGTGGTCGTGCTGGGGTGTGGTCGTGCTGTGGTGAGGTCGTGCTGGGGTGGTCCGCACCCTGTGATTTAGCACCGCGAGCAACGACAGGCAACCACTCAACCAGGACAACCACGAGGAGACGCGTAACGCACGCAACGGTACGGGCGCCACTCATCAAACACACAGGGAGTCCGTGGCTGCATCGGTTGAGTGGTTGCCTGTCGCCGCCCCCTGGGCGGATCCCTACGTAACAAAACAAGCGTTTCGCTCGAGACATCCTCGGCAAACTCTGCGGAGCAAGCGTTTCGCTCGAGACATCCTCAACGCACGAAAAAGTGGCCCGCACCCTGTGATTTATCGATCGGGATTTCAAAAACAAGCGTTTCGCCTGAGACATCCTCAAATTTTAATCCGCCGGCCTCCTTCGACCTCGATATTTATCAGGGAAAGATTCCGCCGGCCTCCTTCAAGTTGGGCACGGGGGGACATTGTTTACATACTAAAAGAGAACCCTGGGCCTTTGCCCTTTCCGGGAAATGGGGAGAAATCGGCATATATTTCGGCCAGAATCTGGGTACAATCAGCTTCGGTTCGTCAGCTGGACCTTGTCCCTGCACGGCCCCCATCAAAGCGCCCTCAAAAAAGGCATGGAGGATGATGAAAATTGCACCGTCGGTACTTCCCGAAATGTGGCACATCGCGAGACGCCAGGGCAAGAAATCTCCATGCATTACCGTTAGTTCGCCTGCGCACGCGCGGCGTATTCAGACTCCCGTGTGCTGATGAACGGTGAAAGCTAGACGACCGCGAAGAGAAGAAAGGCTGCCGACGAACACGTCGAGCCGAAATGTCGCACACCCGGGTTGCAGGGGAGATAACCCCACAAAACTGCAGGATCAAAAATGTGGTGGCTCGAACACACATGGTTCGGTGGGGACCCATGCTACCCATGCTACTCGACTGGTTCGACATCTTCAGAGAACGGCAGCCTCGGTACCGCGCACATCCATCAACGTTCCCTGAAAATGTGATAGGAGCCTTTTTGCTGAGAAGGCAAATCTCGCTTGAGCCACATGCCAGCAGCAACGCTAACAATTGACAGCGGAGCGCGTGGCAATGCTCCTCACCCCTCACCCACTCGCATGGCCATGCTCTAAAAGCCCCTCCCGGCAAATTGTGGCAGACTGGGGCGACAGGTGAAGAATTTGGAGCAAGCGAACTGGATAAGAGCAAACCTCATGGCACAGGCATTCGAAATGGTAAGACCACAGATTTCACCTTGGAAAACCAGACAATGGATGATTTGAAAACTAGTCATATGGATCTTGAGATCGATTGTGAGATCGATATTGAGATCGAGAATGGATTCGACAGTGGACGAGTGTAAAGTCGAACGTGCGACCGAGAGTAACATCGATTCGATGAGATCGATAGGGAGATCGGTCGCGAGATCGTTCGTGCGATCTCTAATGAGATCGCTGGCGAGATCGATTGTGAGATCGATTGTGGAATCGATGGTGAGATCGATTGAGAGGTCGGAATTGAGATCGATGGTGAGACCGATCGCTAGGAAGATCGACCAGAAACGCGGGAACTTGGGAACCTCGCCGCCGACCGACATCGGCCCGGGAACCGGGAACCCGGGAACCCAGAACTGGTCACCCGGGAATCCAACGTGCGACCAAAATCAGCGGGAAACTTTCGTCAAATCCGCCAACCGCCGCTAGGACCCGTTCAGTGCAAGCAGTGATCGGGGAATAATTCGACTGCGCTAACAGTAGGTTCAGGCGAAACTTAGCGCGACAAGAAATCAAAGGCGTAGATGGTTGAGGTAGAAGGCGACTGCGGGTTGGGCGCAAACGTGAAGGGGCCTCCTAGCACGCGAGACACGATTCCCAAATGTCGCAAAGCACCGAATCACGAATAACAGCGAACAGTTTCTCAATTGTGCTTTGACGAGCACCTGGATCCAGGATGCGAGCACTCCGTAGCGGGCGCCAGTTCATTCCTCCCGCTAGCCACGCACATATTGGCACCTCGCACGTGCCTGGACAGATCGCCCCTGCGAACACCTTCGATTCAACTGTTTGCAAGATTGTCATGTGTTCCTACTGTGATCTATTTGACTTCTCCACATCGTATACTCTCTAGCAACCAAAGTTGACAAACTTCGACGTGCCTGACCGTTTCTAATCTTCGCGGGCTCGCAAAAGCAAAAGCAGCACTAGCATCACCCTTTAACGCGACACTGCAATAATCATCGCCATGTCTGAGACATGCGCACATTCCTAACGCTACTGATCCACCTTTCACCATCCCGCGCAATTCTGCGTCTCCACAGGATAACGCCACGACACTCAGGGTCGAACTCCACGACGCAATCACATGGAATCCCCAAAAAACTGCCCCCCCAATCGTTGCTGCACGCGTTCCCTTACACCGGCGCAGCTTGCGTCAGCCCACACGGTGAATTCACGGGGGTGTTATTGATGCAAACACGGATACTAACACATGTCGCGGTTATTCAGGCACTGGCCCAAGTCTGGCCAGGCCTTGCCCATGCCCCCCAGGCCGAGCAAGCTCTTTGATTCAAAACTGCATGTCTGAACGATCCTGCGCGAGATGATCGAGTCTGGCCTCCAAGGCTTCGCGCGTCTGACCTTCGCGGCTGGGAAGCGCCCCCTCTTCTGGCACCTCGCAGGCTGGCTTTACTGTTCCTGGCATCCCACATCTCACTGCGCACGATTCCAGGCCCCATTCCCCTGCAAATCTCGCTGCATGTCTCTGGTCCGCCGCATTCAATGACCCGCCCCGATCCCATTCTACAGATTGGTCGAGAATCCGGATTGCCTTGAAAACCCACGGCCCTGGTCCGAGTCGGCCACGGACTCTGACTTTGAACGCGTAAATAAATTTCTCATTCGAACAAAACAAGGCCAACCTCGGCCCCCAATAAAATAAAGTCAGCGCCGCGCACTGTCAACCAAATTCGCCTCATCTTGCGTCTGAAGACACCTAGCGGCGCTTTGCCGCTGTCAAAAAAGATGTCGCATGCGGGACCCACGCGACAGTCCTCACGGTTGCCGGCGGCGCCCCACGTGTCATGCATTGACTTCAAACAGCTTTCGCAAATGCCTGGTTCACGATCTCCCCCGGGCAACCCGATGAAGGCCTGCCCCTTGGCCGCGGCGCAAAAAGCATGCCCAACTTACGTCGACAAATCCCACCTCGAGGCCCTTTTCTCGCCGCCCCCGCTGTCCTGCCCCATCCCCATCGGCAATAGCCATGGAGATCAATGATTGCTGGAGGCGCGGCTGCAAATATGCGCGCGCCATAGGGATGGCACGCAACTTGCTGCGCCACCAGCAGGGATCGGCACTCGGGGTGGGCCTCGTCTCCCGTGTTGATGTTTATATACCTCGTGCCTCTTGGTGATTTACCGGAAACGGACGAGTAGTTCACTTCCGCCACCTCCCCGTAGACCTCACGCTTCCTGAATTCCCCCACGCCCCCCCCCCCCCCCCCCCGAGCTTACAACGCGAGTTCCAGGTCAAGCCCCCCCCCCCCGATGCGTCGTTCCAAGCCCAGGTTTTGCCATTGTCGTTGTGAATTACGCACATGTCACCCTGGCACACTGGCAATTCTTCACCAGCGCTTCCACCTGCCTCGCATGTCCCTGGAACTCGCAGCCAGCCCTGGTGTCGGCACGCGCCGCAAATTCATTGTCGCGGCTAAAGTCCGTCGGCGAATCGAATGGCGGTCTTGCGCGAGCCCCCTCTGAACTCGGCCCCCCCGCTCCTTTCCCGCAATTTCGCTGGCCCCCCTCGCCCTCGCACACTTGACCGGCGCCCGAGCCCCAGGCAACCCCGCGCGCGCACGAATTCTTCATTGGATTGGAACTTCCAGGAAACATCAGGCAAGAGGCACTGCATACCTTACAAGTCAGAATTAACAAAGCCCGCTCCCCCCAGTCACGTCGTCCATCCCCGATCTTGAGAACCTCCATGCTTTCGCCCAGGTCTGTCCTGTTGACCCCGGGACCAGACGTCCTGAATGGGCATTCCATCTGGCAGATTCAGCCCTCAAGTATCGCTCGACAGAATCGGTCCGGATTTTGCTCTGATATCCCCTCTCTCTCTCTCTCTCTCTCTCTCTCTCTCTCTCTCTCTCTCTCTCTCCTCTCTCTCTCTCTCTCTCTCTCTCTC